AAAGGAAACTGAAATCACCACATATTGGTGAGATGGAAAATGAGGCACATCCCAACAAAATAACTGCCTAAATCTAAAGTATTTTAATAAAGCAGAAAAGATGGCCTTTTGTGGAAACTAAATCTACAATAACAACTTTTTAGATTAAAATTAATCAATAAATATGCACCACCACTCAGGAAGAAGGGTAGTCCAAAATACTCAGCCTTCATTTAATTCATTTAGTCAATGAGCAATTATGAACTGTAAAATTATTCTAGAGATTTTCCTAAGAGTACAGAAGCCAAAGAATTAAAGACATCAAATTCTTGTCTTTAGGGACAAGACATTTAGGCACATTTTTTCTACAGTAATCTTAGAACTGGTTAAGTAGACTGTACAATTGTCTTAACAGCCTTGTTTTAGCATAGTCAATGAGGACAGAAGCTAGATAAGAGATCCAACCAAGACACATGTATCTACTGCACCTACTGAATTATTCAATGGAAAGACTTCCTGCATGACGCACAACACAAAGATCCTAGTGTGATGCCAAGGCCATCCAGGCCGAAGAGCTGTAAAGAAATGGCACCCAATCCTTCAAGTAAATATTTGCCTGTCGTAAATCAAGACACTGGAACGGGTTCAAAACCTCCATAAAACAGATAGGCAAAAGTCTTCTCCAGCTTAAAGAGGCAGCTGTAAGCCTTTACCAGTTAGCGGTTTTCAGTGTTGCTCTTTACATTGCTGGAGAGAGGTTCAAACACCTTCAGAAAACTCACAGGAGTTTACTTCTTTACTTACCTGAAGCAGGGGACAGGTATAAGAAAGCCCTGAATTATAGTTTGATTCAAGATAATTCACCACCTGTAGAAGATCTTAGAGCTCTGTGAGGTACAAGACACAGCATTACCAAATTTGAGCTCTCAAATGTCTGCTGGCATGAATTAACTGTAATCCAAGATGACCCTTTGCTATTTTCTTTCCTCAATCCATTGCTTACTGAAGGAATGAGTTGAGGAAAGCTGCAAAGTGGATTTTCAGTCTCCACAGAACAAAACAGATTATAGAAGAACTAGGATTATACATACCTTAACAATAATTTTTGCCTTCTTACCTTGTTAGGCAGAAATACAGTGCACGATACAGGAAGAGGTAACTAAGCTAAACTACAGACTTCATAATTAGTATTTTTAAGTGAATTACTGTAAGCAAAAAGTTTGTATGAATTCTAGCTTGTTTTGAGAGCAATCCGAATAAGGCCGTAACATATCTAGGTGGGAAAACTACAACGTCTATTTCCTTCATATAATAATAGAAAAAAAAAAAAAAAAAAAAAAAAAAGAAGAGTAATCATAGTGTAAATGGTGGAACAAGGCCTATCACGTGATTAAGGAAATGCAGAATGGAAAGGGGAAAGCAAGGACTTGGCTTTGGGGAAAAACGTCACAGGTAAATACTTAGGCTACACATTTCCATGATTTATTAAGGAAAGAAAATCCTACAAGTTAGAGAATAAAATTAAGACTTAAAATTTAAAGTATTATCTTCACTTTATTTAATTTTTTTTCCACAGAACAAACTACTAAGTGAGTCAGGAAGGCCCTTAATGTTCCATGCTTTTCAGTTGTTAGTATAAGCTCACATATTTTACAAGAAAAAACAAGTAGTTCATATTTCTACAATGGCTTTTCAGTGATTTTTTTTTTTCATTGGGATTATAATATTTTCATTAAGTGACCCCTGCTACATTGAAGGAAATAGAAGTATACAGTATTGTAGTGTTACATACAAGATACTTAGAACAACTCTAAAATAGTTGAATCCAAATGTGATTTTGTTATTAAAAATATTTATGCATTGCATACCTAAGACATATTTCACAAGTACTAAGAAAAAAAAAAGAACAAAACAGTTTTAGTGTTCTTACATATATTTCTATGGGTATTGTACATGATTACTGAAAAAAAATTCCCCACTAGCTTTTTGATTTACCTTATGTAAAACACAGCTTTATCTTCTATAGTTGTAGCCATCAGAAAGATAAATAGCAGCACGTTAGGTGTCAGAGGGACTGAAAACTTACAAGGACTCAGGGCAAACTGGGTGATGGACAGTATACAATCAATTATCAAGGAGTCTTAAGATCATCTAGTAACACTTTTTCCATTAAAATGGAAAGCACAATGTATCCTGAAAATATCAGGCAGATTTGACCTACAGTCAAGAAAAAAAACAAACAAACAAAACAAAACCACTAAACAAAAACCACCAAAACCACAAAACTTGTACTAATGCAATGTATTTTTTTATGTAGGTCAGTTTTAGAGACAGAAGGAATAGAGACCAGAACATTAACCAGCAGGGGGTGAAGGGAAAACAAAATTATTATTAAGCCTACTAACAATGTAAATAATTTTCATTAATTTACTATTTTTGATAATTATAAAGGTTGCCAGAAGTAGACCAGAAGCTCAGGTGCTTAAATAATAGGTCATGTCATCAAAATCAGGTCACTGTGATATTTTGGCTGTTTTTTCAAGTGATTAGTTGAACAACTTTTTGCCCTTTTTTTTTTTTCTTTCTTCTTCCTCCCAGTGGTATACTTTCACCAGGTTATATTTGTCAGAAAAACATTTAAATTCAACACGAGTACCAAAAAGTGTGCTGGAGAAAACAGTAAAGAATAATCAATTCTAACACATAAGACTAAATTTATGCCTTTAAGTTAATTCACTAAATCTTTTCTTAATATCAACAACTCTTTCAAAAAGGAATCTAAAAAACCCGGCAATATTAGGACATCAGAACTCACATACAGTATATTTCTACATTAGTAGCAAGTCTTCAGTAGACAGCTAAGGAAGACTTAGCTATCTGGAAGTTACCTGGAAGGACTGAAATAAAACTTAGCGTAACACTTCTAATAAAACAAATTCATTGTTGCTGATAACATCGATCAGTGAAAGAAAAGTAATTACTGAAGTCAGTTTAAAATCTATTTTGTTCTCTTGTAAAGAGGAAATATCACAAAGTTACTTAAATCTTATGACAAAGAATTAAGTAGTAAGCAGCATGAGAACCTCATTTTGCATTTGTGTGTGCTATCTAGATTTATACGATAATATGAACACTGAGACAAAGAAAAGTGACCAAGTGTTCAGCTTAAAAGACAAACCTGACTATCAGAATGTGGCTCCAATAGGTGATTAAGAACTGCAAATACATGACGATTAGAGTTAGCATCCAGATGGAAAAAAGTAAAGAGCAAGGTGCTAATCAACTTTCTCCTGCAAAAACCCTATAGCTACAAGGACCTTTTAGCAACAAAACAGTAAAACCTCAGAAAGAAACCATAAAAATTTTGTTTACTGGGAAGATGTTTGTTGGCATTTATTTTATATAACTATAATGATCTAAATTTAGTTGTCTGAATTTACACTATTCACCTAGGCTCCCTTGAGAGAAAAAAAGAACCTTGAGAAAGGTATCTTTCATTTCTGAATGGACTGAAAAGTCCTTGGAAAATCCTTATTTCTCCCCAGTAACACCTGAGGAAGCCCAATGACTAGATCAGGATGCAGCATGATGTTAGGGCTCTGCTATTTCAGCAGCAGAATCCCCTCTCCATACATTGTCCCACCATCTTGTGTCAGCTTTAACAAACTAACTCTAAAATAAAACAAATGAAACTGGGGTGGGGAGGGAAGTGGTCCAACTCACTCAACTCATTTTGTGGCTACATGACTGATGATCCAACGTAGGAGGAGAGGGAACAGGAGGAAGATGTGGTCAGAGACAGGCAGAAGAGGCAGGAGGAAGGACCACTGCTTCAGGTTGGCACCTCACTACTAGATCAACTTAGCCTTAACACCAGCTCAAGTTCTTAGACTGAGAGAGCTAACTTTTTCAGAGGGTTAAAGTAAAATAAAAGCCATTCCTCAAGTTTGTAATCAAAAGTGTGAAGAAAAGGCTGATAATTAACCCAGAAAAAGGGTCAAAATAAGTACAAACATACAGTAAGAAATTAGCACCTTACAGCTCAGCTATTGGGATAAAAAGAAGAGGGAGGAGGGGATAAATTCTCATAGAAACAGCAATGAATCAGCTAGGAAGAGCTTCAGACATCTTTTTAAGTACAAAAAGACCATCTCAGAGGCCGTAAGGGCATCTGAGAGCTACAGCAAGAGCACAAGTTAAAAGACCACTGGCAGGAAACAGTAGTTGACTGTTCAGCCTCTGCAGCAGTAGTAATATGGCTATATGACCCAGAGGTAAGAAATGACAATAAGCACAGTCAACTATTCATTAAGGAATCAATATACAAATATTAATACTTTTTGTCCAGCTTATAGTAAAAGTAAACAGCAAAGAATTGTGCACTCCTGATTTTTTTTTGAATCAAAATGTACCTCTATTTCCTGGCATTCACAAATAAAGCCTCTTGAAATTTCCAACTTCCATAAGGCTAATACATTCTAAACCTCATAAATTAGATTTCGAGGCATACCCCTCCACCACAATATTTGGCAAAGAAGAAAACATTGAAACAAGAATAAAATCATGATACAAAATAAAGTGATACAGATGTCTATTTTTAGCCATACCTACACACATAATAAAAAACTTCAGAATATATATTTTAAAAGACTGTTTCCTAACCTTTACAGAACAACATACAATGTACATGAAATAAAACAGAAAATTGTGTTTAATAGAGTAAGCAACAAGTTTTAGAAAAGAAAATATGCATAAAACTGTTTGGCTGACAGGTCAATTATTCATTTTCAAATAATACACTTGAAATTTATTATACAGGAAGAATACCACATGATAATACACTTTCATAAAGTTTCATATAGAAAACTAGAAGTTGAGATTTTGTTTGTGTATATGCTTAAATATTTTTCTACATATGCAATTAGCACTCTTTGCATAAGTAGGCATTAATTTCTGAAGGGTTACATATTTTGTACAGACTATGTAGTTTATATTTTTTAATACAATTTGTTATCACATACCCATGTGTCTGCATGAACAGGCCTGATGTTGCTGAGAAGCACCTCTTCATAATTTCCATAATCACAGAATTTAACAACTGCAGTTGTCCCAGAAGAATGAAGAGCTTCAATTTCTGCCCGGTAGAACTTAAAAGAGAAATTTTCAAAGGTCACAAAACACTATCTGAAATACCACAAAGAGCTTAACAACTACCTTTTCATATATATACACATTTAGTCTTAGTCAGTATTATATTTTGTATAAGATTTGTACCAGATATTAAACCAGATGTATTAAACTTCCACATGGTAGACTGCAAGGACATGGTAGAACGTATTTAAAATACTCAATGAGAAAATATGCAGCTTATGAAATTAGACTGAACATTTAAAAGACTTGTTTTCATTTCTCTGAAAGCAGAACAAATTCATCACTAACACAAATGTTATTGTATACAGAGAAGTGTTACTGTAAGACTTGTTCTTAAAATATTATCAGTAAGTGTGCATCAGCCATGTATACTGTACATACTAATATATACCTATTTTAACACATAATAAAATATGATAAAAAAATTATAAAACTGCCCCTTCAAAAATCCTTTTTCTAAACACAAAACTTGATTTTTTGACATTTATGCAAACACTATCAGCTTTCTTGAAGATATTAAGTCACTTTTATCTTATTGATCACAAAGAAACCACTGCCTTCTAACATGGTTAAGCTCAGTACTGTATTTTATAATCACATTTCGAAATTGTCCTAGACGTGAGCAGCAGCATTTATTATAACTACGAAAAAAAACAAACAAAAAAAACCCCTTCTAATGTGACGGATACTTTTCAGGTAAACAGTCTAGGATTACCTCTTATCTACTTATTTTGCAAGTTTCGTACTTTCCAGAATGTCAAAAACTCACCTCAGAGTAATTCAAATATGCTTCTCAAAATAGGAAACAATTCCATAACGTGCCATTATATTTCAGAATAATCCATCCACCCAAGCTACATATTCCTATTTCAGAGAGCTAACGCACTATATGTTGCCACTACCAAAAATTTTGCATGCCTTATCATGTTTTAGTCATACAAACAAAAGAGAGAAAAATAAAGTCATGCTGCTGACCTAACACTATCTACTTCCTGTAAAAAAGGCAAAAAAAGGAAAAAACCTTAAATAAATAAAATAAACAACAACAACAGAAGATAGAAAATGGTGGGAATAAAACCTATTCAAAGAACAGTAATATTGAAGGTAGTTCTCAGATTAGAAAAGGTCAAAAAGTGAAGAAACTAACCAAGAAGAGTGACAGAACTCCTGAACAGATAACAATGAATCAAAGAAAATGGCTTAAAACTTTTTTAGCAAAGAAGAAGATGAAAGTGTATTGCCGCAAGAGAAATCTTATTAATAGGAACAACAGCTGAAGAGGAAGTATTTAAACTTTTAAAAATCAGTAAAACAAAACTATCGTGCAGTGTAACTCATTTGTTCCGCAAATTCTTCAGCTAATAGTCTACTAGTGATAATAAAAAATAAGCCTTTTGCTGTTTCTTTTCTGCGATGATTGACATAAAAGAGGGATTTTTTTTCAAACAGACCCGTTTCTGCAGACTCTGGTCTTCCATTGCACTAGTAAAGGTTGCACACTGATTTATTCTAGAAAAAGGCATTACATATCTATCATTACGTCTATTCTAGAGAGCACAGCATCCTGTTCCTTGGAAAAGAACACAGGCACCTAGATCCATATTCATCCCTTCAAATTTTCGGCACTTAAGTCGGCACTTAATGCTTCAGTTAGGAGCTTAGTCATCCTAAACTCCACCTAAATGAGAGAAACAATCACCTTCAAGATGACTTAATTTAAGCGCTTAAAGTTTCACACAATGAATACAAGCGACATATCTCATAAATGAAAAAAAAACAAAAAAAAAACCAACCACGAACAAGAAGCTGGCCAAGAAGCACACTACACACCTATGAACAAAGCCCCATGTCTCTATGCTAGCGTGCTAAATGTCCCACATTCACGTGAGAAAACATTAAAGGTACAATTTGAGGTACTTCTCATTTGGCAAAGGCATACCTTGTTGTCTTCCCAATAAAGAGCAAAACATTCATCCCCTGGTCTCCAACTTTTTCCATACTCCATGTGAATCGATGGTTCTAATATTTTCTCTGGTTTGATGGGCCCAGATCTCCTTTTGGGACCGGTGTTGTAATACAACATTTTATCATCAAAAGATGGGATCGTAGTGGGTCCTGATGATTTGATAGGCCCTACTCGTCTTCCTTTCTGATGATGCTCAGTATCTCCATTTGGTACAGCATTAAAATTAGCAGTTCTACCAGGATTTTGGTAATCATTATTGACACCAAAATGTTGCTCACTCTTTACCATAAAGGCTTCACTAATTATTGTTCGTGCCTTCCTATCACAAAAATTTTCAGAATCGTGTATTTGGTTTTCCCTTTTCCCACGTTTCTGGTTATTGTTGTCTGTAGTATCTTGAGCAGCAGAGTTCTCCTTGAATTCTGTGAAAGACACCCCTTTTCCTACTCTGTTTTGCATATTGTTATCCCTTTTTTTGAAAGTAATATCACTCTGGTGAGAAGCTATGGGATAACCCAAATCCTTTGGCCTGTCATTTCTAGGATAGTGTCTGTCACTTTTATTTTTTTCATCTGTCCAATGTTCTAAAGAGCTGTGCCTTTCAGGACCTCTGTTTCTTGGTAACCCACCACTTTCCAAAGCCTGCCTTGAATTTTGAATATCCCTTTGAAAACGAGGGGGTTTCTCATTCCTTGGTTGTCTCATGTCATTGCGGGAAATGTGTCTTGAATGATTCTCTTTGATGCCATTCTGTTCTGTATTCATAACTTTGTGCTGTACTTGATGTGGTGGCTGAAATTGCAATTTTGGTTCTACAAAGAAAAAAATTATTTCAATTATTAACATATTTCACATAAACTTATTTTAGAAATAGTATTTCAGACCCTAACTGATAATGCAACAGTATTACTTAAAAAGTATGCAGTATTTACCTTTGTCATACAGAAATCGAACGATACAGAAAATTTAGCAGAGACATTTAAACTGTAACTCCTAGTTACTGGAAAACATACACTACTCTGGGCTGTACTTAGAACCAAACCACCTACCAGTATGAGAAAAGCCAGGCATAATTTCCAGCAGGTTACTCATTTCTCCTTATGGACATCAATAACTCACTTGAATAACAGCCATTTAAGACAGAAAAATAGAATTCCAACATGGAGAAAGGAAGAGGGAGGAAAATGAGGAGAAAAAAAGAATACTTTTAATCTGAATTGAAACTTTCTGCAGAAATAACTTGTTAACAGCTATTCAGCATAAAAGACAAAGGCAAGAAATAGAAGTCATAAAACAAACACAACTGACAAACCATAGATCATGGGTATAGTAACAAAGTCCAGAACACTGGACACCCTGATCAATGAGCCGTAACAGGAACCACTCAAGCATTACCTTCAAGAGAATCAACCAGAACTCTAACTGGTGAGAAGAAAAACAAGATTATCATGGATGTCATGAGAAAGAGCAAACTTGCTATGGGATGCTGGGGAGAAGAGGTATTGTGAGGATCTGTGAAACTTTTTATACAATTAAATTTTTTTTAGGCAAAAATTTTAATGGGATGTTTAGGTGAAGAACCAAAGGAGGGGTAAGATCAAGATGAATCCACGAGGAATAAGCATGAGAAAATAAAGAAGGAATGAGATTAAACAGGACAGTTCCAAGTAATCAGCCTCCTGGTCAATACACTTGCCGAGCCAACTCCTGCATGTCATCACTGGAGCCTGTCTCATCTCTTCATTAAATTCTCTTTCTAAAAATCTCCTTTGTGATTAAGTTCTCTATTGTGTGTGTGAGGGGACGTGTTTTTAAACCTGCTGGTGAACTTGAGACAGGATAAGCTGGTAAGTGGGACAAGACAGACCTGGCAGCTGAATACTGGAGAGACCATGGGTCTGAAGGCCATCTACCAGAGAGACCACAGGTCTGGGCTCAGATACTGGACAGACCTACATAAGTATGCTCGTGTAACTCTCCTGCAAACTTCAGGTTGTACTAGCCAGCAACATGGACAAGAGGTGTCTGAGGTGGGCACCAGATGCCAAGGGTCTAGGGGCCAGGAGAGACCCATGTGAGTGCATGCATGTGGGTGGCTGGGTATGAGATCTGCTAGCAGACTTTGAACCTGACTGAAAAGGAAAGCATAAACCCATTAGAGTAATTCATGTTCATATGAGCAATTCTGTGTCATGTGGGTGCCTACAAAGGTGTCATTCTCTTGCCTGTGTCCATCCACGGAAGTTGGCCATGTATGTACTGTGTGCATGAGTCTGGTGTGAGTGCATGGGCCTGGTGGGACTATGCACTCAGGCTCTCTGCTGCCTGGCCCTGAGTACACTCCTATGGGAAGGGAAAACTAAGAACTTCAGTTTACATGTTACCACTACAAACAATGAATGCTGATACCTGACAACAAATGTATCAATTTTTATAATTACTTGCTACATGGTAAGAGTTAAAATTAAAAGGTAAGTTTTAGGTTTAAAAAAACAAACAAACAAACAAACAAATGCCAAAAGTTTGTTTTAAACTTCCAAGCATCACATTATTACTCATACCTCACAGAATTTTTATCAATTTAATTGACTAAATTGGCTAATAAGAATCTAATTTTATTTTTACATACACTTGATTTACCCTAACCTTTACAAGCCAAAAAGGTTTAACTAAAATGACTTAGTGGTTTGGTTTTTTTTAAAGTGACATAAGCACACGAGGCTTAGCATGATCATAATCTTGATAAAAATACATCTCACTACAAAATTTCTGACTTCAAAACCAATAATGTTTTTAATGTATGCATATGTAAATATATATTGCTCAGAAAGAACCAAGAGTTTCATATTCATTTCCTTTTTAAAAATGAAGAGATGACTATTAAAATCTTGTAACGCTTAAATTCTTTTTTTTAAGACTAAATCCTTCAAGTTTAAAAGTACCTCTTTATCTGCCCTTTACAAATGGAACATGAAAATACTGTTTTTCTTCAGTTTATATCTGTAACTTTTCTGTAAGTACCTTCATTACACTTTCCCACTTCTGTATAACACACACCAATCTTCTAGATTTCCTATCGTCTAGAAAGGTTTATCTTCCTAATTAATTAACCGATTTCCTTCATGACATTCTTAATTGATATCTCTTCTCCTCTGGTAATAAAATCCTTGGGCTTCCAGTCTTCCTATTACCAACCTAAACTCTCTTGTCTATTCCTAATGTTAACTACACATGAAATGATTGAATTATTTGATGACCTCTGAATGTTTACTGCCTTGTATACACCATTAAAGAAAGATGTGTATAAAACTCTAAAATACTTCATTATAAATCATCTTATTTAATATTTCATAACATGAAATTCATGTTACAAAAGTCACTCGCACAGGGGAAAGTTGTTCCAATGGTAAAAGTAGAAATGGGCTAAAGACTAGATTGAGCATGTTAATATTTTGCTAGTTGGCAGGATTTTAGGATTGACTTAGAAGTTATATGTTTCCTCTCAAGGGCTATCTTTCGTCCTTTTTCTAAACGAAGAAACATTTTCTGAGCTGAGATGGGTAGTCACCCCAGACAAAGTACATACAAGTACTCTGTACAACTGCAAGATTTATCCCCAAAGCATGCAGAACAGTTATAATGCTTTAGTTAAAGCCTTGAGGAAAAATGTAAACATATACACATTCTTCTATAATTGGAAAAAGTTTACTGAAATTTCTATTCAATTTCATAGCACATAATAAGTAATTATAGCTATTGTCCTGGCACCTTAATGAAAATAGCTAGTTTTACTAGACAACAAAAAATCTGGATATAATAGATCTCCGAGCAACCTACTTCTGTCACACGGCTGCAGAGATCTTGTCTTTCTACCCTTCTTCCACCTCTTTGACCTGCTTTCCAATAAAAAGTTACAAGCATTCTCACATGAGACAATATTTTCTGTCTTTAGAAAAGCAATATTGATCTCCAAAATCTAGAAAGAAATAATTCAGAACTCAAATGCTATCCATCTACTTAACAAGAATTACCTGTAAAATAGGACTTCAAGAAGTTTCATTTAGAGTTATAACCCACTGTTCCACAAAGCAGCATAGAGATATAAAACAGACTAACCGCTAAGAAAAAATAGCAGCACATTTAAACACTGGCATGAATAACTCCACCCAGAACTAAGTAGTTAGGAAGAATTCCTATTATCTCCTTTTTTCAAGCAATAGAAATTTTAGCAGTACGTTAATAGAAAAGGCCATGTGTTGCAGATCTATTTAACAACAACAAATTCCTAATATATCAGTTGCAAAAGCAGTACTACTGGATGATCAAATAAATTATTTCGACTCAACATAACATGATCGTGATACAAAAGCAACAAGCTGACTTTAAAGTGCGTCAGAACTTTCAGTTACAGATTTTTTTTTAAATAGTATGAGAAAAGTAAAATACTACTAAATGTTAGACAGCATGGAAGGAGACTACGGAATTCCAAAACAGTGAACATAAGCATCTTTTTTCTAAGTCTATTTACTGTGACATGCAAAAGCTGCTCACAAAACACCTGATATTTCTCTACTCTAACCTTAAGAGATGTAAAATCTAGTAAACCGATGTCTTCTACAAAGATGTAGTTATGGTGCTAAAAGTTTCCCAGGGCACTACATCATATGCAACAGCCTTGAATGAGCAGGACACGTTAACCGATTGTTTAACATTCAAGCAGAACCCATTCACAAATGGAAACTGCCAAATAACAGTAAATGTTACTTTGTCGGCAGTAGTCAACAAAAAAAGCCTAGAGATGAGAATATTACAGGTTCTTCATGAATTTGTGCTGTCCAGCCTAATCACCAAAAAACTGAAAGGAATCTGAAGCTTCTTTAATAGAAAAAGTTAAGCGATAAGGGATCTTATTCACAGATCGTCTATTGCAGCTGCTGTTCCTTGCTTCTACTTGTCCACCCACAACAAACCATTAGTTAACGTTCCCAGAAAAGTAATAGTCCCTACAGGGCAGTAATAAACAAATGTTAATCTGGCATTTAACAAGAAGATTTGGTACGCTATTCTGTCAAATGGCGAGATGCATCAGCCCAGTCATCATCATTGTAACTGGACATTTGGGAACATGGTCTGGAAAAAGTCCATTTCAAAATTAACGACAAGGCTTTTGTCATCTGCTGGGTAGTTTTAAAATGACGACCGGCGTTTCTCAGTTTGAAACCATCACTCAGTTATTCTACTCATTTTAGGTTTTTTTATGTGATGACCCAAGAAGACTGCACAGAACCAATCACATTCCCTCGCTTACAAGAAACCAGCAGGACCTGCTGCAGCTGGAAATCCCAGCCAATGCAATTTAAAAAGCACTTCTCCATGCACACTGGAATTTAAGTAGTACGGTTTCCTGTAGATCTCTCCTGTGGATTTTATCATGTTTAATAATGTGGTTAAACTCAAAGACAGGGGCCCTTCCCACATCAATGGGAACGATTTGGGTTTCTTCTTCTAACTTCTTCTATTTTTATGCAACTTTATGAAAGCATGTCTTTGAGACAGCTGTCCTCAGGGCATGTTCTATCTCGTCTTGGCCAAAAGATTAAAAAATTAGAAAGAAATTAATAATACATTTACACACACTTCGTGTCATGGAGTGAAATTCCAGTTAATCAAGAGCTTTGTCAAGTTACATAAATATCAATATCATTCTTTCTAAAACGTAGTAACATTGAGGAACTGGAACCTGAGTCCATGTTTCTGTTGAAACAAAATAAATACAAGCTAAGGAGGATGATGATGTTAATAAAGAAGTGGC